GTTCACTGTATTTATAGCTGCCATTGTCTAGTTAGTTAAAGGGCATGGTTACAAGGACTTTGTCGGCCGACTTTGAATGGAGGGACTAAGGGGAAGAGTGAGCAAAGGCCCTGGGGTCTGGGGAAGCCTCCTGTCTGGATCAGACTCTCAAGACCTTTAGAGCTGGTCTTGTTGACATGGGAAGGACAGCCATGTGCTTGCTTGCCTACACAGCTTGATCCCGACGAGCTCACATGCCCATGAAAGGTTAGGAATGTGTCTCCAACGTTGGGTTGTGTTTTTCCTCTATTGCCAGGTGATTGTTGATGAACAGAACCTGGATTTCCTGTTGTCCTACACCATCTCTGCTATCCAGCAATGTAGTCCCTGGACGCACATGGAAATTCTACAAGCCCTGGCGGCTCTGGTTTACTGCAACGGCTCAAAATGTCAGAAGGTAATTGAAACTGTGGTTATGAGTTGGGCTGCAATCTGCAAGGCCAGCAGTTCAAAACCACAGCTGCTCTGTAGGAGAAAAATGGGGCTTTCTACTCCCGTAAGTAGCTATATTCTCAGAAACTCATAGGGCAGTTCTGTCCCGTCCCGCAGGATTGCTGTGAGTCAGCATCAGCTCAATGGTAGTAAGTTTCGTGGGGGGGGTTGTCCTTCCTTTGAAAGGTTAGGAGTCCAGGCTCTGCAACCAGTACGCCGTGTTAAAGTTTTTAACCTGATGGCTAACCTTGAGTAAGAAGTGTGACACAGAAAGATTTACCTAGCAGTTAGTCTTTTGGCATCTGCTGACTCTGTAGATGAAGATAAAATCTGTCTAACGAATAATATTTTTTGAGGCGCCTTTCTTTGATCAACGTTGGCTGTGACTTTCGTTTTAGTATCTCCCAGACTTGGTGGGCAAGACCGGACTCTTGATGAAGCTGAGTGACCCGGCTCAGGCTGACCCAGAAGTGAGGAGGGCTGCAGTGCACTGCATGGCAAACTTATGCCTCAGGTACGTGGGGCCGTCGTCGTTGTCTTAAGATAAGACCTTGTCTTGGGCTCTCTGTAAGCGACTCACTGCATTGTACGCTAGAAAGAACCGAGAAAAATGACCGACTGTGCATTTCCCACATCCATTGCTTATCGAATCTTGTTAATTTTTCATTTTTCTATTTTAGTATTACTGTAAAATAAAACTTAAAAATAAATTGAAGAAGAAAATAGACTAGCATTATACCCCTAAAATAGGACAGAAGAGCTCCTATCTGCCACATGTCAGGGTTTTGTTCTCTATCAATATAAATCCTGTCTTAACTCATTTAGAAAGATATGTTTGTATGACTTGAAGCGGTGGTGACGCTGCTCTGTCAAGGCCAGTCTCTGCTGTCTTAAGAACGTGGATCTAACCCCAGCTGCCGAGTTGTAGGTTCACGCGACAAAGAAGGGTGACCGTGAGCTTGAGTGGATTGATGGCGTCTTGTCCAGTGGCTGCGAAGAGGGGGTAGCAGTGTGATTCTGGCTCCACGGGCCCCGCCTCTCTGGTTGTCTGCTCAGATCTGAGCATGATTCCTTTTTCACTGTAAGCTTCTGTAACCCTTCCCTTTGGAAATCAGTCCTCACCCTTCATATTCCTTCCAGCCGGTGGCTGCCCCGCAGCGGAGCGTAACCAACTGGGCTGCATCATTCCCTCCGTAGTTGCATTCCGTTCAAGCGTGGACCCCAGCTCAGTTATTCTGGCCACTGCTGTTGTCAGTCCTGACTCTTTTGCAAACCCATTTTGAAAGAGACTGTGTTGGTTTGTCCCATGCTCATTTCAGTGTGCCAGGACAGCCGTGTTTGGATGAGCCCTACCAGAGGATATGCTTCCAAACTTTCCTGACCACGTTACAGTCACCAAAACCGTGTGACATGGACGATATCACATTCTGCATGGTAGGTGGGAGTGTCGCTACTTTTGGGACTGTTAGCGATGTGTTGGGAAGCAGCAATAGAACAGAGGCAATTGCTAAAGAGCTTAATTTGTTGCTGCATTTTATGTCAGTTTTACCGAAAGGTCTAGACACAGTGGAGGGTCTATAACGGGAAGAGACTGAAGTTGTACATTTTGGGAGTAAATGACAACAAAACCATTTTTGTTTATTTGCTTGTTTGGGGTGGGTTTGTTTTTACAAGTCTAGGTTTGAAAAAGACTTATTTTTAAAAATATTTTATTCACAACTGTAAAAGCAACATAAATGCAAGCTAGCAACTGCTTTTGAAATGGAAGGAAAGAGGGTTAATTTTAGCATATCTATGATATTATTTTTCTTTTAAAAAATCTGATGCAAATATGGCCATTTTGTAGCATGTACCAAATTTCAAGTAACAGATTTCAAATATCATAGATGTTGAGGAGGTGAAAGGTACTTTTAATCCCCCCTCAGCGATATCCACTTGTCCCCAAGTGGTTTTCTATGTGTGAGTAAGGACACTTACACATTTCTAATGGGATCATATTAAATAATACCATTTTACAACTTATTCTTTATCTTCTTTGAGTTACTTCTTCGAGTTGGGACTAAGATATGGTAGGATTCTTAAGAGGAATATATGAACTAATGTAATTCAAATATTTGTTGATATTGTTGAGCTTCACTTGTAGCAAAGGAATATAATGTTTCTTATATTATAATTTGTAGAAATTGAAGTTTTTCCATTTGTCCACTATTGCAACAGAGGCTGCAGTTGACACTCCTGCATGCCTGGGCTAGCAGTCCGTAAGGATAGAGGCTTAGCACTGAGATTACTGAATCAAGAAACCAATTTTGTTCAGAATTACCTTTACAAACAGATTTTTTTTAAACCATCTGCTCCAACATAGATTCATTTCCTTTTAAGAGTTTTTGAGATTACTGTTGTAGCTCATCCCTGTCATCTACTCCCATTTTTATCACTACGCTACATTTGATTTCTTACCACATTCTTCCCACTAAATAGCTCTTCTTCTGTTTTTCTTGGTTACCATTTGTATATGCTGATTAATGAACGTGTACAATGAGAACACTCATTTACTAAGAGCACTCTTTTCCAGCAATTACTTGTGCAAGGAGTTCCCGCTGTACAACTCTGCTGTCTGGATCTTCATCTCTTCTTCTCTTGTCCCTGAGGTTACCTGTGACATTGGAAGACTTTTTCTCCTTTATCCTAAGTAATGCCAAACAGTTGATCCCTGCACACCCACATTTTATGCTGCTCCTCTAACTTGGTGTCCGTCCCCCGACCCCCCAGCTGTTACAAAACGCCTTGAAAGGGGTACAGTCGCTTCTCAATGGTGGGAAGAAGAAGCTGACGCAGGCTGAGGAACTGGGAGCCCTTCTAGCTGTGCTGAAGGTAAGGCGTTGCTCTGTGAAACCCCAGGCCCTCCTGGCGGTTCCGTTCCTTCCTGGCTGAGCCCCAGGTACAGCTTTACATCATCACCCTCAGATTAGCTTTAACTGTGACTTTGTAAGAGACAGAAAGACAATGTTTACGTTTAGCATGTAGTATTAAAGTTTGAGGGGGGCAGCCCCCCACGACTACTACCCACGGACGGGTTCGGTCAGCACAATTGTACAGTTGAGATATATAAGTATTATATTAAAGTCATCGAAAGCATGAGAGGTAGAGGAGAGATAGTACAATAATGCAGTCAGACACACTTCATGGTAGCATTGCTCACCTCAGCCCCGCTTGGTGGTCCACGGGGAGAGAGGGGGAAGGGAAGTAGGACGGGAAATGGAGCAAGGGAGAGAGGACTGGAGAGGAGAGGGGGAAAAGAGGGGAGCGAACACGGAGACCCCAGCGAGAGAGCGCTCTCTCTTGCTAGCCCAGGCCTATATCCCTTTTGGTGGTGTGCAAGCCCACTAATTACAGGTAAAGACCTAAGTCACGGAAGGGGTTGCACTATAGGTTACACAGCAATGAGAGGGGGTGATCTAGGGACATGCACGCAATAGGAAGAGGAGGGATTGGGGAGTATACATGTGACAAGATGGGCGGATCCTAGATTTAGGGTGGCAGTTTAACTTTGGATGTCACAGAGCCAGTTTGACTTATTCCTGGCTCAACTGATAGAGATCATTATCAGTAGGATGTGAACTCCGCCTACAGGAGCCTGTCCATTGGCCCCAGCAGCTGGGAGTGGGGGCCCTCTGCAGTTTGGCAACTGATGGCCCTCTGGGGGGAATGCCTGCGCATCTGACCTCCCCCCACAAAACAGTTTGGCAAAGGGACAGAATTGTGTCTCAGAATGGAGAAAAGGGGTTGGGTTTTGAGGTTTGACCTGTGGGTCATTTCATTTTAATGAACCTGCTTCTGCCTGTTTTGTTTGCATTTGAAAGGACAAACGAACTTCATGGCTTTCTCCTCCATATAGCAGGCTGCCTTACTTTAACTTCTAAGCCTGGCACACAGTGGGGAGTCCAGCAGCCTCTCTGGGACCCAGCTGCCACCCAATGCTGCCAGGAAGGAGCAGGATGCTTCCTGCTGATTTCGGGGCTAAGCTATGGTTGCTACTCCAGCTTTATCTGAAATAAACCCTGACCCTTGAATTCTTCTTTGTGGCATCTCCTCTGCACCCCAATATATTGGTGGATAATTAGATCTGGAGATAGGTAATATAGGTGAAACAATAAGGGCGTGCAACAGAGCAGGGGGAGTAAAGCAATGAAATCCCTGGGGAATACCAAATAGCCTTGGGGGCCAGGGCTTGGCACCCCATCAGACTCCACTGGAAAACACTCATAAAGGTTAACAAACAGACCTGGGACTATTTGTAGGCTTTTCTTTTTTGTTGTCGTTATTTGGGGCTTTTTTTCTTTTTTTGCTTTGTTTTGTTTTTGTGCTTATTCTTGGTTTTGCATATCTATCTAGATAAGATAGGCAGGATAAACAATCCAGAGGAGAAAACAATAGGACTGGTGGTTCCAGGGGGACACGGAGAAGGGGAGGTGGGGGAAATGAAGGAGGTACCAACTAACCAAGGGGTAAGGGAACAACAAGTGATCTAAAATCGATGGTGAGGAGGGTATAGGATGCCTGGTAGGGCTTCATCAAGGGCAATGTATTCGAGAAGAATTACTGAATCTCAAATGAAGCCTGAACATGATAGTGGGACAAGGGGAAAGTAAAAGGAAATAGAGGAAAGAACTAAGAGGCAAAGGGCATTTATAGAGGTCTAAATACAGGCATGTACATATGTGAATATATATAACGATAGGAAAATAGATCTATGTATATATACTTATATGTTATGTATTGAGGTAGCAGATGGGCATTAGACCTCTACTCATGTACACAAGAACACTTTGTTCTAATAACCTGGCATGGCATTCTGTGATGCTCACCTTCCCAACACGATCACTGAAGATAAAATGGGTGCATAAGCAAATATGGTGCAGAAAGCTGATGATGCCCAGCTATCAAAAGATATAGCATCTGGGGTCTTAACAGCTTGAAGATAAACAAGCTGCCATCTAGCTGAGAAGTAACAAAGCTCACATGAAAGAAGCACACCAGCCTGTGTGATCATGAGGTGTCGATGGGATCAGGTATCAGGCATCAAAGACCCAGAACAAAATATCATATTGATGTGAATGAGGGGGAGGGTGGAGTGGAGGCCCAAAGCCCATCTGTAGACAATTGGACATTCCCTCACAGAAGGGTCACAAGGGAGAGATGAGCCAATCAGGGTGCAGTACAGCACGGATGAAACATAACTTCCTTCTAGTTTTTTAATGCCCCCCCCCCACTTCATGACCCCAGTTCTACCTTACAAATCTGGCTAGGCCAGAGAATGTACACTGTACAGATAAGAGCTCGAAACAAGAACACACAGAATCCAGGACAGATAACTCCCTCAGGACCAATAATGAGAGTAGCAATACTAGGAGGGTAGAAGGAAGGTGGGGGTGGGGATGGAGAATGGGGGAACAGATCACAATAGTTGACATATAACCCTCTCCCAGGGGGCAAACAGCAAAACAACAGAAAAGTAGGTGAAGGGAAATGTCAGACAGTGTAAGACATGACAAAATAATTTATAAATTATCAGGGGTTCATGAGGGAGGGAGGTGGGGAGGGACAGGAAAAAATGAGCTGATACCAAGGGCGCAAGTAGAAAGCAAATGTTTTGAGAATGATGATGGCAACAAATGTACAAATGTGCTCAAGTAGAAAGAAAATGTTTTGAAAATAATGGCAACATATGTACAAATGTACTTCACACAATATATGAATGGATGGATTGTGATAAAAGCTGTAAGATCCCCTGATAAAATGATTTGAAAAGAAAGAAAGAAAAATTATAGATTAGTTTTATTCACACACACACACAAAAGGGGGATGGAGGAATAATTGGATAAAAATTAAAAAAATGATTGGGTAAATAAAATGTGACCTAATTTCGCCAGATCTCCCTGGAGGCCAGATGAGATTAAGGTCACCTTTTAAAATCCAAACTTGACAGTATCTATTTTCTGTCCTCTGTTTCTGTAATAAACTTCTAAACATGAATCAGTTTGTGTATGTGATCTAGGACCTGGTGAGTACTCCTGTTGAATGATTTGTGTTTTGTGTGTGTCTCCATGTTTAATCCTCATGATTAGAAATCCATGTTTCATGGACTCCCTGGACTGAACATAGAGATTCCTACGGTGTTATATCCAACTCTGCTTCCTCAGTATGACGGGCGACCGCCTGCCAGAGCACAGCAGTCCCAGCCATGCCCTTCTCGGCCGGCCATGGTATGTAAGTCCCCCGTTTCTCAATGTGTGCTGTGCATGCTGTCTTTCCTTTGCATCCCTACCGCCTGACAGACCCACCTTGAATTTGATTTCATTTTAGGGTGTTAGCAGGATAAATTTAAAATCAGGCTGTTGAAAATACTAGTTAAAGCACCTTTTACCTTCTAGAACCCTTGCTCGTCGTGTAGTGGTTACGCATTGGGCTGCGACCCACAGGTTCCGCAGTTCAAAACCACCAGCCTCTCCGCAGGGGAAAGACGGGGCTTTCTACTCCTGTAACAGTTACCGTCTCAGAAACTCACGGGCCGTTCTACTCTGTCCTGTAGGGTTGATATGAGCTGACCTTGACTCGGTGGCAGTGAGTTTGAGGGGCCATGGAACAGTTATAAAAAATGAGCATTCGCTTTTATACTGAACTTTATATATACTTTACACCTTAAACAAGCTATACTTCCTCATTTCAAAATTATTGAAGGCCAGGGTCCAGGATGCTCTGTAAAGGGCTAGATAGTTGGGAAAGACCCTCCAGCTATTCACCACCTGACACATGGCCCTCACTATCGGTCAGTTCCTGGGCCTTGCACTTGGCATTTGTTATTGCCAAGCTGACTTCACCAATGCGCAGCGTCGGCAGAGCTTTCCCTGTGCTCCTCAGGTGGAATGCCGAGTAGTGAGCGTCAGGAAGTACAGGGTGCTCTGAGAACATCCTGGAGGCACCGGCCAAATGAGGGCGTAAGACGAGCTGTCCGTAGGGTTTTCAAGGGTGAAGTCTTTTACAAGCAGACGGCCACCTGGTGCTGCTGCCGAGCAGTTGGTAGGTTCCAACGGCTGCCTTCTCGGTTAGCAGCAGAGCCAGTGTACCACTGCCTTCCAGTCCATTCTAACTCACAGCAACCCTGTAGAACAGGGCCGAACTGGCCTGTGGGTTGTTGAAACCTAACTCTTGATGGGAGTCTAAAGTCTTCGTCTTTCCCCCACGGAGCAGCTGGTGGTCTGGAACTGCTCACCATGCGGTTATCAGCCCAATGCATAACGCACGAGCAGAGGCCAAACTCAAGTAGGCCTTGTTTGATGTGCCATGGAGTTTGGGTTTTTAGCCTGCAGGTGCCGGGGATTCATTGAAGAATCTTATGTAAGAGAGAGATGTGATTCATTTGCCTCTTAGAAAAATCACAGTAATCCTAGGGAGATGTGCTGAGATCCATATTTCTCCAAGGCCAGGACTGGTCATCTGGAGGGGGCACAGATTCCAGAGAGCGCAGCGAGTTGGAGAAAAAAAAGAAACTGGCTTTTCCCAATCTCTGCGAAGTACCAGTGCCCTAAAAGATGCTGTGCGTATCATGAGTTCACTTCTCGGCTGTGCAGCTGGAGCCGTCCTAGCTATGTCTCTTATTTGGAGAGCTAGGCAGATTGTCTCGGGGAGCCCTATGAGGAAAGGCTGGATCCTTCACACCTGCTGTGAAGGGTGGATGGTGTTACCTGTGCTTAGGGAGAAGGAGGCAAAGCTCAGAGAGACAAAATGATTTGCCTGGGGCCGTGGCGGCAGAATTGGAACCCAGGCCTCGTAGGTTGGCCTGCCCCATGTGTCCCTTCTTTCTCGCAGTTGGGTAGCACGGTGCCTGCTGACACGTAGGGTATTAAGTAAGTGCCACGCTCTCTCTTCCCTCCTCTTCTTTCTTCTCACTCCCACTGGGAACAAATGCTGTATTTGTCAGCTGAGAGGAAGTACCGGTGAGTCCGCTAAAAGCTGTCTTGACATAGCTTTCATATATGTTTTCACTTGCTCCTGAAATCAGAATAAAAAGAAAAAAGCAAAAGTTAAACCAAGGAAAGTCCAGCACGGGGAGGAGGAGGAGGAGGAGGAGGAGGACTCCAGCGGCGAGATGGAAGCCAGCCCAGTCCCGGGCAGAGCGGACCTGCCTAGAGGGAGCCTGCTCTGGGCCTCCTCCCCGGGCGTCCAGAGTCTGCCACCGGATGGAAGTGGGGCTACAGGGAAAGCTCGCTCCTCCTCGCGCTTCACTTCTTCCGGTTGGAAACGAGCCAGCAGCAGCGAATCCGACTATTCTGATGCCGAGGGAGGCATGCAGAGTAAAGTGAGGTAGTTGTTTTCTGTAATATTTTCCTGTCCTAAATCATATTTAAGCTTATAATTTGACTCCCAACAATTGTGATACCCTGATGTGGGCTTTGTGTTACTGTGAAAATGCCTCACTACTTGAACTTTGTACATGCTTCTCGGTGGTCATCTCTGAGAGGCTTTTATGCCCCCGCCCAACTCAACTTTGAGTGTCCTGTGTTGCAATTATCTCAAACTGCTCCTGTCCCATTCATCAGCTTCTCAGGGGCAGGGGCTTGTTAATTATGTCTGCCACGTCTCGTGTGCATGTAAAGTACCGCGTCTCGTGTGCATATAAAGTACCGCGTCGGGTGCATATCAAGGCAACCAGTCCCTATTGGTTGAATGGGTGAGTGGATGAATGGACAGATATTCTGCTGTATTGCATATCTTAAAGCTAGTCTCAAGATGTTGCCCTCCTACTGTCTAATGTGGTTTTTGATTGTGACTTTATTAACTTGTTATCTAAGTTATACTCTGATGTGTTTTGATCATGGCTTGAAAAGTTACATATTTTAATATCCAGTTACCTTTGGGGCTTATTCAGAATGTTAGTTTTCTCTGCACATCCCTTGAAAAGTCTGGAATAAGTAGCATTTCGTGTTCTTTTGTTGTGCATTTCATGTTCATACGTTTTAAATCTGTTGACTGTCTTCCGCCCACCCTTGTGCATTCCAGGTCTTACCAAGCCAGAGTGCGCCAAGGAGCACTGGCTTGTTTTCTCTCTACTGTAAAATCCGTGGAAAACAAGGTTCTTTATGGCTACTGGTCTGCCTTTGTTCCCGATACCCCTGAACTGGGCAGCCCCCAGTCTGTGTCGTTGATGACTCTTACATTAAAAGACCCTTCTCCAAAGGTAAGAGCGCTTAAGCTTTATGGTAAAAAAGGGAAAACGATCCACCTTCTTATCTGAAAACAGCGCTTAGTAATATTAATGCACGTCCTTACTCGAGGAACTGGCAGACAAGAGACGAAGTAGCAGTCAGGGGAACGTGTGAAAAAGCACTTTGAGGTCGCCTCCTGCCCAGTGAGCACTCTTGAGTTATCACTGGTGCAGCTACCCTTCTCCCTGTTTCTGACCATGTCAACTGAAGTGTTCCTTGTAACAGCAAAAAGTCAGACGTGGCTTGGGCACCATAATGGGCATCATGCCATAATGGTTGGGAAGCATGTGGAAGGCTTAGAAGAATGCTTATAAACATAAGATGTAGAACACTATATGCAATATGATTGCAACTAGAGTTTTCTGTTCCTCAGATCACATGTAATAAATACATGTTTTCGTGAGAAACATTTTACGTGTTAAAGGACAGCTTTTTGTCTGTATGATGGGGCACTTCTGGACTGTGCCAGCTTGTTAGGTGCCTAGACTCCCAGCAATCCCCTGCACAGCAGAACCAAGCAGTGCCCGGGCCCGCGCCATCCTCGCCGTTGTTAGTTGGAGCCATTTGCAGCCGCTGTGGCCGTCCACCTGGTCGAGGTCTTCTTCGTTCGTTGGTCCTCCACTTCACCAGCACGATGTCCTTCTCCAGGGACTGGTCTCTTCTGATAATAAGTCTGCAGCATGTGAGACAGAGTCAATGCGTTGTAGCAGCTATATCAGTAAGAGACTTATTAAAAAGACTTCTAGAGTGTGGTATGAAAAAATTATAAGTATCAGCTCATGCAATTGGACTGTAATAGCGTTTTAATTGATCAGCACTAGATTACGAGGAGTGGCACGTGTCAAAAGGCCACGTGGTCACCTTTCAGGTCCTCGTGGTGAGTAGCCAGGATTAAACGCAGGCTCTTATCACAGGTGCTCTTTTACTTTCAGGCTCGTGGCCGGTTCTCAGGTGGCAGGCTCTAGATTCAACTGCAAATACGCTTCTCATTGGCCCACTGAGAAATTTTCCAAAGACAAATGGAAAGAGAGAATGATGATTAGACTCAGCCAAGATACCAACAGTAGGCAGAGATTACTTTTAGAAACCTGGAACATAAGATGCTAGACTGGATAATTGGGAAGGAAAAAACAGCCGTTTCTTTTGGGATTTGGCAGTGCGGTGGCACTTGGGAAACTGTCACCTGCTTGCATGTTACACATGTGCTTCAGAAAGCACACCTGGTATTTCCAGGCAGCCCAAAGCAAATTGTCAATAAAAACATGACTGATTTAAGAATTACTTTTATATGATTTCCTTAGGTATTACAAAGTTAGACTATGGAGATGTATTATGAAGACTTGGTCCAGAAACAATTTAGAAGGCAACTTTCTCTTAAGAATTTTTAGCCTGCTTTTCAAACTCCGTGATGATTATTTCTGTTTTGAAGAGTTAAGAAATGTGGTAACAAATGAAAACATAGATAATTTGTAGCATAGCTAGAAAAGTAGATGCAAAATGCTAGAATGGTAGGAATTTTCTCTAATAGGGCCCAGCTAAGACCTTGAGGCACAATCTTAGTGTAGACGTCTCCAGATCTGAAGGCCTGACATGATGTTCAAATGCCTCCTAAGAACCAACCAGCACTGGTAGTGCGAGCTCGTGAAATGACCCCTGAAGCGTGCGAAGAAAGACCAGGGTTTGGACAGAGTCAAAGAAGACCGTCGAGTGTGCTGGACTCAATCTTCTGTAGTCTCCTTTCCCAGCAGCGACTTCTTAAAAGCTTCGCCCTCCCGGAAGCATTCTGAAACCAAGCGTCCTTAAAGAAAGGAAAACAGAAGGGCTGGCCGAGCGACCTCGGCAAACATTTTTGCTACATTTCTAAATAGCAAAAAGGGAAACTGTTTTTCGGTTTCCTGAACAAGCCTGTATGCCCAAGGAAGTGAAAGTGGACAGCCGTTCAGCGGAACACGCGGGTGTTTCTGTGATGGAAAAGTCCTTCGTCCAACACTGTAAAGATTCAGACCATCAAAACGTAATGCAAGGAGCTCTCTGGAGAGCTGCACCTACCATGGTCTGCTTGCACCTCGCTGATTTCTGCTGCAAGTGCAGACTGGGCCTGGCACCCAGTGTATTAAATATTGATGTAAGAATAAAGGAAGCCACTTAAACCAGATTCAGTGTTGAAAGTGACATTTTTCGCAACAGCACAGGCATATGGAAAGGGGTTTAGAGGAAATGAAATCAGAATCATAACAAGTGTAAAGTATAATGTGTTACAGGATTAAACTTCTATATAGATGTTCTTTCTCGTGGGGGAAGCATTAGCCAATACCCTGTCTCAGTTCCTGACACTGAGCACTCCTTGTGGCTGCAGAGAGTCGAGAGCACAATGTCCGTGCAACGTTTGGTGTTAAGCAGACTCCAGAGGGGTGTATTTTTCCCACCACACTGCCTATTTCATTCTGTCTTAGATGGCTTCAAAGCCCTTATGCTCGAGTAGAGCAAACCTCTAATCTTAAGTGGTTCTCATGCTCAGAAGTTCAGCTTTTATTACTGTCCATAGCTAAGATTGATTCCGTACGGTCAGAAAGCCTGGCAGCATGTGATTGGAGGCATTTGAAGAGGTGGGTGCTGCAAGTGGTCTAGCTCAGATAACACGCACGCCGCACGCTCTGAGTCAGAATCGCCTCTGGCACCCGGTGGCCTGGCGGTGGTGCCTCATTTCCCTTTGAGTGCCGCACCTTCTACATGTGGTCGGAGGGACGTGTGTGAAAACACGGTGGCCCCTGGGCACTCCCAGGCCTTTATTTCTCTAAGCAAAATGATTTTAAACACTTTGAAAATTAAAATTGACACGCGGAAAGGAAGAACAGGAAGTGGCTCCTGCCTTTTCACTAACAGACGTGACCCCCCTTGAAATTCCAGACGCGTGCCTGTGCGCTGCAGGTTCTGTCCGCCATCCTGGACGGCTCCAAGCAGTTCCTGTCTGTCGCCGAAGACACCAGCGACCACAGGCGGGCCTTCACGCCCTTCTCCGTCGCGATCGCGTGCAGCATCAGAGAGTTGCACCGGTGTCTTCTGTTGGCGCTGGCGGCCGAGTCCTCGTCACAAACCCTCACTCAGATCATGAAGGTAACTGTGCCCAGTTGTCTTCTGTAAGTAGCCTTTATTTACGCAGCAAAGGCATATTTAGGTGAAATGTGAAGTTACAGTATGTATTATACCTTTGAAAAGAAAAAAAAGGTGTATCAAAAGGAGTTTAGGGGAAATGAAATCAGAATCAGAAGAGGTATAATTTGTGGTATGTGTTATCTGTGGGTTCCTAAAGGCATTCTCTGTTTGCATTGCGAGAGGTGTTATCAGTCTCCCAGAGAGACTTAAGAATATAAGTAACTATAGCGCTTTGATGAAAGATATGCTAACCTACTCGTCCGACATTACTTACAATCTCTGCATGTTCCAGTCCATGATTCATTCAAATGCTCCTCTGTCTTCAATATGAAGTTGTGCCATTGAAAGCACACAAGTCTTCCCCCTTCGCCTCCCAAAGGATGATGTTCAAATAAGTGTAAACACTTTACTTTTTAACAGAAATGCTATAAAATTTGGTTTCTAGCCTGTGGCTTAATCAAGCCTGTTGACAAGACTGCTGTCTCACTTGTCTTTTTCAGTGCCTTGCCAACTTGGTGTCCAATGCACCTTATAACCGTCTGAAACTCAGCCTGCTGACCAAAGTCTGGAACCAGATAAAGCCTTACATCCGCCACAAAGGTGGGTGCCGTCAGTCAGGCTTCGACAGAGAGACAGTACCAGCAGGGTCTTGGTGTGTCTTCATGGAAAGATTTATTGGAAGGCCTCGGGTCACTCAGTTGGGGGTGTTGCCTGTCTAGCAAGCTGGCAGGCTGGAAACCGGTAGGAATGAATGCTAGAGTTCTGAAGCAGACTTTCCGGGGTAGTTCAGGTTTTGATTTTAAGGCCCATCCACAATATCCAAGTAACCTTTCCTTAAAGTCAGCGGATTGTAGATGCTAAGCACGTCTTCAGAATACCTTCGCAGCTACATCTCAATTAGTGTATGATGAATTAACTAGATCCTAATAAGAAAAAGTATCGGAGCATTTTCACATATCTTTCTAAATATTCTAATGGAGAAGTAGGAACGTGGACTGATATTTACCTACTATTTACAGTGCTAAGAAGTCTACTATTCCCACAGCCAGAAGGGACCAGCTGTTTCTCCAGCCCTATGTTTGACACCTGTAGCACGGTAGGGCTCCCTGGAGGAAATGAGACCGAGGATCCGCTGTACAGCTCAATACCTCTCTGATGCTTCAGTGCGATGATTTGGTATCCCTGTAGAATTAGGACGGAGCCTAGAGCATTGGGTCCCCCTCTGATGTTTAATAATTTATATCCTTTACGCATATAGGTAGAAGATGGGGCTGTATGACTGAATGGATAGACATATAGATGTCGTACTCTTTGGAAAAAGAAATGAATACAAAACCTAACTTCCATAGCATTTCCTCTAATTCCCGGATATAATCCCAGAACTTCAAGTTCCCCACTGACTCCAGAGTCTTACTCCCTAACTTACTTCCACACATAAAAGACTTTCAGAAAGTTTGTGGAGAACTTCCCATTATTTTTTAATCCCACTTTGACACGAACCTTTTAAGCTACGCAGGACCTATCGAGGCTGTTAAAGAGCCTGTGGTGGCCACTTGGAGGCCTGTGGTGCACCTGGCCCAAGCCATGGAGAGTCTCGGCTGCTTTCATATGTATGTGGGAGCTGGACAATGAATAAGAAAGACCAGAGGGAAAGATACATGTAATTACGGTGTTGGTAAGGAATGTGGGCAATACCACGGACTGCCCGAAGAACACACACGTCAGGCCTGGAAAGAGCCCAGCCTCAGCGCTCCTCAGAAGTGAGAACAGAGGCTGCCGCTCGTGGACTTGGGCGACTGGTCCCGGGAAAGGGCATATGCTCCGGAAACTAGAAGGACAGTGAACAGGAGAGCCTCGGTGAAATGGATCGGCACTGCAGCGGCAACAGTGGCTCCCACCGCATCATTGTGAGGCCGGCCAGCACTGGGCCGCGTGTGTCTCGGACACTGGGTCGCTGTGAGTTGGAGCCAATTGGACAGCATCTACCAGCCACCTTGTATTCGATGCATACGCTTACCTTTAAGATACCTGTGTTTCTGTGAGCTTTAAGATCTGGCCTGATGAGTGAAGTGTTTCCATCAGAATGGTAGATTTTGGAGTTTGGGTGTTTTGGGGACAACATGGGCAGGGCCCTGGGACTAACAAGTGTCCCAAGGAAGCAGAGTCTCCCACCCAGTGCCTTTGTGCCTTCTTGCATCTGTGCCCTCGCTTCCTCCTGTAGGGAAAGTTATACCTACTTCATCACGCACATCTCCAATGAGTGATGGCAAGTAAATCAAGCCGTCTGTGCCTTTCACTGATTTGTGAACCGAGCCCAGAAAGAGAAATCGGCTGTAGGGCCCTCATCACATTAGCCACAGAAGGAAGATTGAAACCACCCACGCCTCCTAACTGTCCACTGCTCAACTGTGTCTGTAAGCTAAGCGGAGTCAGCCGTGTCTCAGAGGTCCCTCGTGTCTGGCTCTGTGCTCCAGTTAGCAAGATGTTCAAATCCACAGAAAACTCAAAAGAACAATGCAGTCAAGATCCGTGAACTCTGCCTAGATTTAATCATCGTTGACATTTGTCCGACTCGCTTTCTCTCTATATATACGTGTGCCTGTGTGTGTAGGACAGCTTTTCCTTAAACCATGGAGAGTCCGTTGAAGATATGAGACTTCATCAAGTACCTCACACATCTCAGAATAAAGACAGGTTCCTGAAAACAAAACTGTGATCAACCGTGACGCCGTAGTATGGTTGATTAGTACTGTTAGCTAATTTGGGAGAAAGATGAGACTTTCTACTCCCATAAAGAGGTACCGTCTCGGAAACCCACAGAGGCAGTTCTACCCTGCCCTGTTGAGTCGCTGTGAGTCGGAACTGACGTGTGGTTTTGGCTTGAGTTGGTGTTCTCTAAAAATCCACATTCAAATTTCTCCTCATGGCCCCAAAAGTCTCTTACTGCTTTAAAAAATGAACAAAACAAAAAGTCATTCTTGTTTCATGCTTGCCTTTAGTGGTCACTTGAGTTTTGTTTAGAGTAGTCCACCCATGCTGCCCCCCATGATTTTGGAAGAGTCCAAAGCAGTTGTCTTTTTTTTTTTTTTTTTAAGATTATTTTATCAGGGGCTCTTAAAGCTCTTATGATAATCCATACATCAATTGTGTCAAGCATGTGTGTACATATGCTGTCATTTTCATTTTCTAAGCATTTACTTTCTGTTTGAGTCCTTGCTATCAGCTGCTCGTTTTCCCCTCCTTCTCCCACCCTCCCACCCTCGTGAACCCTTGATAAATTATGTCATTATTTTCATAACCCCTGTGTCCCTTCTTCACCCACGTTTCTGTTGTTCATCCCCCTGGCGGAGGGGGTTATGTGTCTATTATTGCGGTCAGTTCCCCCTGCTATCACCGCTCCCATTTCTGTTCTTGAGGGGTTTAACTGACCTGTTTTCCATGTGTCGTGAGCTCTTATCTGTACCGGTGTACATGCTCCAGTCTAGCCAGAACTGAAAGGCAGGACTGGGGTCATGATGGTGGTGGGTGAGGAAGCCTCAAGGAACCAGAGGAATATTGTGTGTTTCATGGGTGCTATACTGCGCCCTGGTTGACTCATCCCTTCCTTGGGACCCTCCTGTGAGGGTCCAAAGCAGTTGTCTTAATGAATGTCTGAATGCCTCACATTCTGGATTTGTCTGTTTCTTCGCAGTGTCGGCTTAACTTGCAATTCTGCCCCATGTGTTTCCTTGAGGTCTAGAGGTTTGATGAAGTTCAGGTTAAACCTGCTTACCGGGGACAGCTGTGCTCCTTAGTGGTGGTCCTTGTGGTCACATGCTGAAAGGCTCTGTTCCCTCTGGCAGATGTTAATGTTCGTGTGTCCAGCCTCACACTCCTGGGAGCTATCGTGTCCACCCATGCACCTCTACCTGAAGTGCAGCTACTTCTACAACAGCCTTGTGCTTCTGGACTCGGTAGTAGCAACCCAGCAACTCCTCATCAGCCTGATTGGTGGAAGAAAGCCCCCTGGGGACCCTCTCTGGAAGAAACTACAGTCAGCTCACCAAAGGGGTCTTCCGAGCCCTGCTGGCTCATTCGACTGTGCATTTCCATTGTTGTGCTGCCCAGGGAGGACTCCGGCTCCAGTAGTGAGGCGGGCTCAGCCGCAGGAAGTACCTATGAACCATCCCCCATGCGCCTGGAGGCCTTACAGGTAGGAGGTTTCAGTTCCTCAGCTTGACCATCCTTCCTTCTGAGAGTGATCGTGAGCAAGCGGTGAGGGCCTGAAGTAACGTCAAGCTGAGCTCTGTGTAAGCGATGTTAGTGGGAGCTGGGTTCTTGGTGGGTGGGTGGGTGGGTGGTGGTTTTATGTTGAGGGGCTCGTAGTGGAAATAACAGGTTCATTCCATTCTGTTTCCGTTGCATATTATTTTAGTCACCTCTGGTATCATAGGTTACATCATTGATGCTGAAAGAAATCGTACATTAGCTCTTTCATTCCTGCAAATTAAAGTTAAATGTTTCATTCCCTGGTTTGTATCTGTTTAGCAAAAACAAAGAATTGCTCCCTCAATGGAAGTAAACAACCTATACAAAAATACTTATTTTTCTCTCCTTAGAAATGGACTTCGTCCTGACACGGACTTCATCCGGAGTTCTTCTGCTAATTAAACACATTCTTTAACTTTTTCAACCTTAACTTCAGCTTGAAAAGTTCAATTATCTACCTCTAAGAATTGTTCCGAGGCTCAAATGAGATATTAATTAAATTTCTTTTGAAACCATAAAGCCCCGTAAAATTAAATGGTATAGTTAACTGGTTTCAATCGTGAAATAAATAATACTCCTCATTTCATTCACAGTCAGATTTTAGCCGTTGCCGAGTGTGAATGATTTCTGATATGTGAAAACATCTTTCTGGCCATCTGAACCCTGAGTTCGGGTCTGGGGTTAATTCTCTGCCTCTGTTGGTTCTCTCCGCAGGTGCTGGCTCATTTGGCTAGAGGCTACTTTTCCATGACTCAGGTTTACCTGCTAGAACTTGGAGAGCTTATCTGCAAGTGCATGGAGGAAGCCGACCCATCGGTTCAGCTTCACGGAGCAAAGGTAGCATTTCACGAACAGCAGCGTGCTTTTCCCCGTGTTACCTTATGTCAGGCTTCTTGCCTCTGCTGCATGTCCGTGAACTTGCAGGCTTCATGGAGAAGGTTTGAATACAGACACCTTTTTTGTTCTGTTTTGTTTTTAACATTGACCAACATAGTCTTTGTTTCGAAACGAAAATTTGAAGAATAAATTAAATTACCATCAGCAGCAAGTTCACCTAGTCCATTTTGGTCCATCCATTTCATGAAGTAGATAACCATGAAGACTCGTCGTGGAAAAAGAGAACATATTAGGAGGAAAAATATGTATACTATATAATTACAGGGGTCCATGGGCCATTTTCTCCTAAGGGTTTATATATGTTTTTCTTCAATGAGACTACTTTATGATAATTCTAAGTACAATTTCCAAATTTCATAAGAGAATTTACAAACTAGAAGAAATGTTATAAGACTGGTTCTTATGAAACCCCAGAAGACAATAGTAGTACCAGCCCTGGGGATAATCACACTTATTTTACACAGATGTCTGGGTAAAATATGCACATACATTTATGGTTCGTCACAAAGCTGTTAAGATTTTGTCGAGCAGAGATGGAAAGGACACAGTCCCTGTACCAGAAAGACCTGATCCACGTTCAACCGCTCGAAGAGGTCATGTCTGAAGAACCGTGCTCGGGAGGAAGAAGGCATAGCCCAAAGCAAGGCTCGGGAATTAATGGAGCACCGACTGAAGCGCGCCAGCACGCTGGCACAGCAGTGGAAGCACCCACTAGTCTGCCCACAAAGCCAGAAGAGCGCTACCTGGGCATCCTACTGCAACAGATCCCGACTGGTGCCCATGTGAGAAGGCCTACTTAGCCGGGTGTAGAAATTACTGAACAATATAATCAATACCGCATGCAGGTGCATTTTTATTGAATGCTACTCATTCAATCCTATCAAAGAGAATTATACAATCACCGCCACATCTATCCTAGAGCACCTCCCCTCCCCCGTGGTTAAATCTCCTTTAAAACAAGTTGTGCAATCACAATCCATTCCAGTGCGCCCTCTCCCCTCCTGCCTTCATTATTTACTCCCCAAATCCCCTTTCCTTCCCCATCCCCCATCCCGGCATTCCCTATAACACTTTGTACCAGTTATTATCATTATACGTCCACTCCTCCTGTGCTTCACCACTGAGAAACCCCACAGAAAACACTGAAAGACAAACCGCACTAAGTTGGTAAAGATAAGATCGTATTAGTATAAAGATAAAAATACAAATAATGGGTGAGAGGGAGAAGACCCCTGTCAACATTCAAAAAGCCAGGGAAGGGGTCAGGTGTCATGCATCATCAGAACAAAAAATCTTA